CCATTGTAAAGATTTTTCTAAAATTATGTTTGGCAATCCATTTTTTATGTGTTTGCTATGTGTAATTCAAGTTATTTTTTGTAGAGGTGATAACATGATAACAAGCTAGCATGACAACCAAAGGTGGTCAGGGCAGCATATCTTCTGGTCCGAACCCTTGTGATAAGGTATGTCGGGGCACCCAGTTGCTATGGCGATATGAGTGGCAGGGTCTTACTGTTTGAACAATGTCAACACGCAGCAGCACTCCATTTCACAGACAACTTTTAGGATGGTATGTAATGCTAAGCACTATGAATAAGACTGCATTTTTATTCAGCTTTTGGTCATAATAATATAATTACAAATGCTAATATTTTGATATGCAGTACACTTACACCACATATATTCTTCTCCCCTGCACAAGGTCCTAAATTTTGATTCATGTGGGAGATATGTGAGTAAATTAACTTGACTTAAAAAGTGAATTAAAATGGACATGTAGGAAAATTCACTGCTTTGTGCCAAATGTATGACTCCCTGCCAGTGTTGTTTTAAAGTAAAACCGAGAAGTCCAGCCTCTTGAAAACCCCTCTGAGCTTTCCAAGCACTACTTTTTGAGGAGGTCATATGCTGAACATCTGTAATTTTGCCCAGGAAATCATCAGCAGGCCAACTCAAACCCGACTCTCTCCCCCCGACTCCAGCCTCCAACTATGGGGCAACAAATTCAGCCCAACTCCCTGAAGAGGACACAGCCCGTTCCCCCTCTAGCTCAGGGCCCTCTGCACGATTCAGTCCATCGAGTGCAGAAATGAGTTATAGCGTTTTTCACACCTGGTTCTGCTCAAGATGCAGCACAGTTGAGGTTTGGCAAAATGTGCTCCCAGCATGTAAGAGAAAAACAAGAATGTTGCCTCCACCAGAATTGTTACATGTGTGTGAAGAGGGTGCTAAATTGGAGCCTAATTGCATTAAAAGCGATTATGCCTTCCAGTTTCATTTTGAACACAAGCAGCACGTAAAATGGGGGGTGGGGGAAACGGGTGATTGCATATTGTGCTGTGGTTTGCTTTTTACGAGCTGTGATGGAGGCTCCCTCCCGTTCTCTGGTTCTGTGTACAAACAGAACGAAGCCTAGAGCCTGGCGTGCCAGCCTAATATTTGGCTGTTCCAGGATCGGTCCTCACTGCGGCTGCATAGCAACAATCTGAAGCCTGGCTTTCATCTAATTACTCTATCACATAATTTAGCAAATTGCCCTTTCACTGGGGAGCTGAGTGCAAAAACATAAGCACAGCAGGATTTGGGGCAATGGCTTCCATTTATTACTCATTTCTTGTTAAATTAAACAAGAAAATACTGTTTGTGAGATAGAGGGTGAAAATCAGGAGGGAAAAAGGAATGGGAAGGAGGGGGGGGCAAAGAGTCCAATTTCACGGCCACAGGAACAGGAAAGCTGCTCAGTGCACCCAGCATTCCCCTCCAGGATGCCTAGCACAATCACACTATCTTTGTTCAGATAAAATAAAAAAACAAAAACAAACAAAAGTTAAAGCAGGAAAAATAACAGACGTTTAGGGCCTCTTGTCTTGTTTTTATTAATTTTTTTTTTTACTTCACCACAAAGTTTATTGTAATGTGTTCACGCCGGTTTACAGCATGCTAAAACACTTGTGAGTGGCAAGTAATTAGATAGCATCTCTCCCTCTTTTCCTCCATACTATTCTCAGACCTGCAAACGCCCGCTTCCACTTGCCTCGCAAGCCGGCTAATAACCGGGTACTGAAAACAACTGATTAAAGTGCAGCTTCAGGGTGTAGTTACCCCATAAGCCTTCACCGTCTCCTCTGTATCTCTCTCCGTTCCGCTTATTGTTTTCCTCTCCTCCTCTCTTCCACAGAATGGCTCGTCAGAATAATCTTGTACTGCCACCCACTTCACACTTCCGTCTTGGCACAATGGCTTCGCTGGTTGATTCATGTGACATGCAAAGAGGGCATTCTTGCTGTAGTTGAACTGCGAGACACATATGTAATCTATATTTCCCTGAGACAGAAGGCTATCATCTGTGTGTGTTGTTTGTGCCGCTTGCTAATTGCCACTGTCTTTATCTCCAAGGGCCAGACCTGAAGACTGTTCCTTCACACATCAGTTCAGAGGAAAAGGGACATCAGAGGTTCAGCAACTACCTCTTCCATCAATCCTGTGCTTTCTCCCACTTTCTCCCACATCGTTGTGGCCCCACTTGAGACTTTCTGACGTCCTTTGAGTAAAAGTCAGTTAGAGACGGAAGGCAAGACGACTGCATTGTCCGTAAGGTCAATCATCCATGCCTCACGCGCTGTGTGTTGTTTTGTTCCCCACACAAATGCTGAGCTGTCAGAGTGAAGCATTCGGAGCAGGGAGTGAAATAAGTCTAATTTCCCAAGTTTGCTGTAAGGAGTGCTGTGCAAACCTGTTTACGGCAGAGACTGAAAGTGTTTCCATTTATGTTTCGATCTGACTCTTTGTCTCTGTATTAAAGTCAATGTCCTTTCTCTCTCTTTAGGTCTGTCTCTAAATCTATCCATGCTTTTCTCTCACACTTTCTTCTCAGACAATCTTTTAGCAGGAACTCTGATTCCATGTTATTGGTTTCTCTATTTTGTTTTTCATCTCACACACTTTTCATCTCACGAGTTTTAAGGAACGTTTACACTGGCAATGAGATGCACAGCAATAATAAGTCATTTTCACTAAACTGGGGTTTTTTGCTAAACGAGCAATAGCGACGGTTGGCGATACAGCAAAATAGTTCAACTTTGTGTGAATAAGCATGGACACAATTCTGTGACTACTAATGAGAGTACAGAAACAGATCAGCAGCCTGATACAGTTGAATACTACAATCAAGTAGGAACGTCTACAAGCAATCACTGTCATTGTAAATACCCTTTTGCTGCAAAAGAGTTCTGTGCACTCGCCGTCATGATACTAGGCTTTTAGGGGTGTTTTCTTGTTCATTGCTATGTGGTTGTTTGCAAAGGTGTTCTAAGTGGTTGGTAGAGCACTGCTAAGTGCTTGCTAGGGTGAAAAAAATACTACATCTGAGTGCTTAAATGTAATAGCACTTTCCTTTCCTTTCCTTTCCTTAACAAGCCACATGATTTAAGATATACAGAGCATGAATGAAAAGTTACATCTATCATTTTATTACTTAAGGCAGGGGTGTCCAACCCTGCTCCTGGAGAGCTACCATCCTGCAGACTTTAGTTCCAACCCTGCTCCAGCACACCTGTCTGTAATTATCAAGCAACCCTGAACACCTTGATTAGCTGGTTCAGGTGTGTTTGATTGGGGTTAGAGCTGAAATCTGCAGGATGGTAGCTCTTCAGGAGCAGGGTTGGACACCCCTGACTTAAGGTATACTTAAGGTCTAAGCAATAGTATGAATATTATTCTAAGCCTTACCTAAACCCTAACCATACTTGTGTGTGTGTGTGTGTGTGTGTGTGTATGTATATATATATATATATATATATGTATTTTAGCATTTCTATAGTAATAATAACAAAACATTTACTATTTATAAATATTTGTTTTACTTTCAAGCTTTCCTTAAAAGGGTTTTGTCAGATTTAGCAAACTTCCTTGTGACAGCTTTGTCCCTAAAGTATAGTTAAACACAAACACTTGAGACAGAACAAGCCCTCAATGACACATACTGTCCACCATATTGGTCAGCCAAGACAAACAGGAAACTAAACTTCCATCAGTCTGTGCTTTTGTGGGTATTCCACACTGTTGTTTGTGTGTACGTGTGTGTGCCTGTGTGAATGGGCAAATGGCTTTCTTTTCACACACCTTTCTCCTGGGGCCACTGAAGGTGGTAGTTGGTGGGGGTTTTAGAGTGTGTATGTGTGTGTGTTGGGGGCATGCTTGGGGCAGGTGAAGTTCTGGGGTGCTTAGGCGCATTTCTGTGGCACAGATGTAGGAATGGAGGGGCCAAGGGGGAGCGAGCATGTGGGGGCTTTTGGCACTGATCAAATGGATTCCCTTTTGACTTCCAGTTTGGTTAGAAACACATTTCCTTTTAACACCTAAAATACACGTTGCTGAGCCATAATAGCTACTTCAGTCATAAAGCGTAATGCAAACAAGTGAAGGCTTAAGTAATATGTTTATTGAAAATACACCTACATGAACATTTCACTGTCTTTAATTAAGAGACATTATTATTATGAGTTGTGCAGAGTGTGCATGTGTATGTGAGAGAGAGACAGGCTGGCAGAGGTGCGTTAAGCCTGTGAGAAGGGTAGATATATGGAGATAAGTGGTGTCTTGACAGCACTCCGATTACTTTGTGGTAAATGAAATGGAGGAAGTGAAATCCATCAAAGCAAGAGGAAGAGCCAACCACATCAATGGCCCATGCTGCTCTATCACTTCTCTATACCAGGTGTGGACAGCCACAGTAAGAGAACTAACCACCAGTTCCCAAAACACATTCAACTAACCAGCTAACTCAGTTTTGATCATGTGACTTAGATGTTCAATGGTCCCAAAAAGTATTTAGATGCTTACACCACTTGGTTTAAAATGTTACTACAACTACTTTAGTCTTCATTTTGAATATCATATAATTTTTATTTTCCCCACAGCCTAACAAACTTGGTATGATATTTCCTTATATACCAGTAATTAAATGACATCCCTACATCTTGAAATGTCGAGTTAGTACCCAAATATTTTTGGGACCACTGTATGTACCCTATCCCTATCTCCAGTCTTTGTTAATACAGATAATTCCCTGACACACATTGCACAGAGTTTTCCTAAAATTCTCCACAAATAAAAGTTTAATGAATGGAAAATGACAGCTTACTTCTGTCTCATCCTATCTCTGCTATCTTTAGCTTGAGGCTGTTTTTTTTCTTGGCTTCAAACTTAGTGTGTGTGGTTAAGGCTAGGCAAGATAAAATAAATTGTGTGTGTGAGCAAGCATGTGCATAGCATTAGCACTACATTTGACCACTCACCGTCAAGTGTTGGAAGAGCCAGGCCCTCATGATGTTGGTCGCCACTTTAGGGAAGATACCACGTTTTTTATTCCTCTTCTTCTCCTTGTCGGGGTCGTCATCATCTCCTGTGCTGGGTGACGCCACACTGTTGTCCAGTCCATCACCTGTCAAAATACACACAGGAGTCATTTAAATGGTCAATTCCTCGCTCAACACTCATGCAGGCCTTGCATTATTTTTTTTGTTTTAAGTTTTCCAAAAACTAGGTAACAGGGTAAGTTTGCAACAACAGTGCTTCAGTATAGCTTTGAAGCGTCATGTCTGAATGCATTCATTTTAATACTTTTATAAATAACCCCCCCTTTCTCAATCCCCACACAATGCTCAGAGAGAGAGAGAGAGCGAGAGAGAGAGAGAGAGTACAATGGACTTGTAAGTTTGCATTTCCCCCCTGCCTTCCAACACAGTGAGTCACCAAAGAATTGAGAATGACAGAGAGATTTAGTCTTCATTATCCCAGGGAAATATTGATTGAAGCTCGCCCCGGTGTCTTTTTACCTCAGGTGGGAGAGTTACACACTATGAAAAAGAGGAAGGGGGGGTAAATATGGCTGCCGCACAAAACGGCAGCTTTTCAAAGAGCTGCATTTTAATAACAATGCTGCATGGCTGCTTGCAGCAACCTGTGGGTGCTTGATAAGGATTTATAATGGGCAGTTCAACATACCAGAGCAGAGGAGATGGCTTACGTCGCCTTTTTAGCTTCATGTTGCCGGTTTGCTTGCGTATGCTGATTTTATTCCGATCCCCAATTATTGTACGCATTCTCCCTCAACGAGAGCCCAAACACGCCACCGAGAAGACTTCTGATAATTGTTATTATGAAGCCACGATTCAGATAATAAACCATAAAAGAAACACGAGCGAGGCAAACAACCGCACAACTGCAAGGGTCTCAATAGCAGAGGAACAGGAATGGAGAGAGTAACTTATTGATTACGTATAAAGCACTTCCAAAAGCCCCAGTGCTATTCATACAGAGAGATTATGGTGGGTTAACTCTTTCTCTCGCTGTAGCTTTCAGTCAGCGACATAAGGCACCTGTATCATTGATAATTAATGGAAATGTCTGCAGTAATCCGGTTGGAGATAATTTTTTTTTTCCCAGCTCCATGCATCAATAGAATAATCAAGGGTCTAAAAGAGTCTTTGCTCCCCATTACCTCAGGCAAAATAATTCCTAAAAGCATGCCTTGCAGGCACCTGAATTATATACGCCATTAGGAGAGCGAAGGCTTTCTATATTCCATATAAAACACTCTGCCAGCCCTCTCCGCCTAGGAGAGAAGCCCCAGAAAAGACTGAGACTTTTTAAGTGAAGACTTATGTAGATACAGTGGCTTTGCCTTTTAAACAAGGGCACTTTCCCTCAGTCAGTCACTTACTGAGAAACTGACCAGAGTTGAATTGCCCTCCCCCAACACACACAGACACAAGAGAAAGAAAATTCTATAAGACGTCAAAGGAGTGTCGATTACATCATTAACTTATGCCAAAAACAGCCCTGGCTTAGTGAGCAGTTTGTCTTCCGACTGTTTTTAGGCAAATAGAACTTCCCAGCTCCCATTTGGGAAGGCAGTGGCACCGCTGGTTTTGTAATCTAAGACATAATTTTCATTAGAAGCAAATGCTCCAAATCCGGTGTAAAGACTAGTTCGTGTTCAGCAAAGCCTAAAATAATAAACCCAGGGCTTGTCCCATGTGAGTTAGCAAAACAGAAGCACACTGGATATCAGGTCAGACGGAGGAAGAAGGGGGGGGGGACGACAAAAGAGTAAAAGAGGGCAGGGGGCGTTTGAGTGATGTCTGAGGTAACTGTTGCGTGTGTGCTCTCTTGAGCTTTTGTCTTCCGCCTCTTCTAGCCATTTTGAACTATTTAACCTCCCTTCCCCAATATTTTTCCTTAAAAACTGACCTCTGATGGCCTGGACCTTCAAGGCAAATGAGGGGGAGAGAAACAAAAGCTGTCAATTTTATTGGGATTTCCAGTTTTGACTCAATTTGATAGCGATTCAACTCATGTCTGGAACTCATTTTGCCTCTTTTTTTGTCATTGTTAGCACATGGCAGTGTCTATTTAAAAGAAAAATCGTATATATGCTGTGAAAAATATGATGTGACTTTAGTCGTTATGCTAACTTCCGCCATTTTCCTCTTTTCAACACTTCACCTTATTCATCTAGGGCTAATTTTTCATCTATTTTAGCACCGGAGTGTCGGCACAGACATATAGCAGTGTCTATACGGCACTGTTGTGTCAAAATGTCAGTGCATTGCCGAGCTTCTGCACTCTTCCCGCGCCAAATAAAGACGAGCAATGGCGGCGAGGCTGAAAAGGTGGAAATAATCATAAAAATGATGCTAGTCCATAAACAAGCTCACAGCCTCATTAGTCCAGCAGCAGGCTCCACTGGCAGATTTATGCTCCTTTTCGCTGATGCCATGAGGAAATGCCACGGGCGAACTTTGGCCAACTGCTAATGGCTTATGACAGCGTCTTAGCAACTACTGCAGGGAGGGGGGACGCTCGGTCCGGTTCGCCACTGACAGAGAGGAAAATGTCATCTCATCTGGCCATGTGTGGTGGAGTCTATGCAGCAATTAGAGAGCAGGCCAGTGACTGGAGCAGGCCAGAGGCTGAGGAGGATGCCCCGCGGCTAACCAGGGAAATAATTTTTTATGACCCCCTCGTACACTCGCACACACACATCCACGCGTGAGATCAGCCTGTGACGCTCTAGCTGCCTGGCTGCTGCTAAAATCAGGTTAACTTCCCAACATGCCTTTGTCAGCCAGCTCTTCTGATTGGCTCATCTGCTCCATCTCGATACCGGTCTCCTGCTCTCTCGATCTCTCCAGCCGTCTCTCTCTCTCTCTCTCTCTCTCTCTCTCTCTATCTCCACCACTCTTTCTTACCTACTCAAGGAGTTTTCTGACATTATCAGAAAGATGTGGGCTAATCTGTTATGATCTGATTACTCAAAAAGGACACTACCTGTTCCTCTCGCCTTGTGCACCCAAAACTCCAGTGTCAGCCATTTTTCTGCTGCTTTACAAATTAGCAGAATGGCACTTCCGATCCATCGAGCACATTTCCATGTCACTATGTCAAGCGTTTATTCACATGCCATGAAGAAGTTGACATGACGTCTCTGCTGAAAAGACCAGCTTAGGCTGGTTGGTTAGGTCTAGACGGGGGCTCCTATTGATCCTATAGAACTTTATGAAGATGAAGTATGCAATGTATGTGCCAATAGTGGCACCAAACTGGATTACAAAAACAACAGCATTGGATAAACCAATACTGTGAGTTTGGGGGTGGGGCTACCTGTTTGTCCAAGCAATGGAAAACAGAGGAATGTTATTTTTGCAATTAAACAAATCAATACAGAAATATCCATAAGTACTATTGAACTGTGACAGATTTAACAACCATTCTCGTTACAAACTTGGGAACATGCTTGGCACGTTGCATTTTCAAATGCACGTTATAGGTGACTCAAACTCCATCACTTGCAGAGATGGAGTTTGTGTGGAGCAGCAGTGCTGTTGATAATTGTGCTAAACCATATCACACTCTCATGCATTGTTAAAAATTAAGTAAAAAAAGGTTACTGGCGACACATATACTCACATCACTGATTTTTACTTGCATTTGGCGCTTGGCGAGTGTTAATTTTAGGCCCTGGTTATAAGTCAGGCTGTCATAGCTCATGCAGTAGAGCTTCTTGCCCAATTTCAAGAAGTGTTTTGACAGAATTTTATTGGCCATGGTCTGATGGATGGGGCCAAGCTGTGGAAACAGATTGGCTTTTGCTTTACACCACATTTGGTCCATGGATGATTTCTAGAGCACCTCTGGCCACTCCCTGTGGAGGGAGTCAGGCGACCTGTGCTGCTCTCTCACTCTCCCTTAGCATTCAAACACACACTGTACTATGGTTTTCCTGGTCCTGCAAAACCTCAGCCTTCTTTTCACTATGCACACATTCACACATGTTCACACACTCGCCATTCTAACACACACACAGAGAGTTGCATATAAAGAGAGTGGGCGAATGGGAAGAGGGGAGGGTCGGGGAAGAAAAGATAAAGCCGGGTTCATTGTATTCAGGCCATTCACATGGTTAGAATGGACCAGGCAGCGGGGGTTCCCTTTGCATGGGTCACAAGCGCCTCCCACCTCAAAAATATTCTGAACATGCAGGAATTCCTGCGGTATGATTCCCAACAAGAGACACTCAGATTAGCAGGGAGCTTGCCGTGGACACTTGCCCCACCATACATTTTCTGTTCCTAAAATACATACAAACATTAGTAGCGGTCTACTGACTGCAATCACTTGCTCCTCTAGTAAAATGGCCCTAGCTCTTCTAGTTTCTGACTTGGAAAGAAAAATATAAAGAAAAGTCGAGGGTTTAATGAGATGCGACATGGTGGCAATGTAGCAGATCTTTAGTTATGTCGACTCTTTTTGCCTCTTGATCGCGTGTGTCTTGTGATATTTACATGCACAGCTGTGCATATTTGTGTATTTATGCTGAACTTGCTAAGATAACTAGTTTTCCGATTTATAATTATGTAGAAAAAAATTGTTCTGTAAATACTAATCTGCGGAGAGTCATAATTACAATCCGTAATTACCCGGGATTCATTTGAAATAATGACAGTAAATAATGACAGTTTTAAATAACTGCAGGCATCTTAAATAATGACGGTGCTTTTGATTCCCTCTGTTCTTCCGCATATGATGACAATGACAGATCTGTAATTCATAATTTGGTGAAAAAAAGAGTGTAATTACAAGTCTTTCAGCCATACCTCGTGTGTCTCTGTCATCGCCTCGCAGCAGGGCTAACGGAGAGGGTAATACGTGCATAATGTGGCTCATATTCAGTGTTATAATGCCTCTAATTAAATGGAGTCACCCGCGTGAGTCCTAGCTGAGAGCTCCTCATGCATATTCCCAGGTCTCAGAGATCAGGCCGCTGACATACCCACAGGTGATGGCAAAAATGTCATTGCAAATGTTACGGCTCTCTTTCGTCCGTGTCTGTGTTGGGGTCACTTCCACTGAAGACCCCCGACACGTTGGAAAGCGTAT